CCTGGCTCGGGGGGCACGGTCTTGCGGCACTCGCTCTGCAGCCGGTAGGCGCTGGCGTTGAGCAGCCGCAGGGAGCTCCGCACCGTCTCCAGAGCCGGCTTCTGCAGCAGGGCACAGGACCAGCATCAGAACCCATGCCCAGGAAGCTGACAGTGTCTGGGTGGGGACCATCCCCACCCCAGGGACACACCATCCCTCTTACCTTAGGGAATAGCGATGCCATCTCTGTCACAGCTGAGTGGATCTTCTCCGAGCAGGGCACGAAACTGGGGGTAAGGAGAAAGGGTAAGCAGTGAGCATTGCAGGAGACCATGGCTCCCGACCATAGAGGGTGCCAGGGATGGCCCTGTGTGACCACAGCCCCTTGGTCTGGGGCTCCAGAGGGACCCCAAGGCTGTGCACCAGTCTCACCTGTCATGTTTGGACTCCTGTGCCGCCCGCAGCAGCTCCTGGATGTTCTTGGTGACCTGCTCAGTTTTGAGGATGACGTCCTCTGTGCTGGGCAGTCCAGGGTCCAGCTCCCCGTCCAGCGGGTCCAGCTCATGGGGGAAGTCCTCATCCTTGCTCAGCTCCACAAACCGCTTGCCCTCCATGCTGCAGGGACCGACCAACCCCCTGGGGTCAGTGTCAACTGCATTTCCATGTGTCCCCATGTTCCCTGGCGCAGCCCCCAGCCCCAGCACTGACCTGATCAGGACCTCACCCCCCTGCGTGTTGTCGTAGTCGCTGTCGGTGCCGCTGCCGTGCCGGTCTAGCTTGCTCTGCAGGGCAGAGGAACAGCGTCAAGCCCTGCCCAGCCCAAACCCACGCAGGGCCGGGGGTCTCCCCACCCCAAGAGTTACCCCCCTCCCCAGTACATCACCATGTGCCGGGCACCATCCGGTTGGCAGGAGAGCAGCGGGGAGGATGGGGGAAAGGGCACCGAGGAGCCAGATGGACCTTTCCGGATCTGGAGGGGGAACAGAGGGGAAGCCGGTGCTGAACATGGTGCAGAAGGGTTTGGAGCTGACCTCGGTGATGTGCAGGGGAGGACGAGCACAGGGGACACCGCCACCCTGCATGCAGGAACATCCCACAGCCGCCGTCCCTTGGGGAGGTCCCCGGCCTGACCCAGCAGGGTTCAGGGCGGTGGGGGGACAGGACATCCCAAAGGCCACATCCTGGGCAGGCGACAGCCACCACATCCCATGCAGGAGCCGCCCCCGCTGCGGCCCCCTTACCCGGTACACGCTGGCCGGGATGTGCATGGAGTACAGAGCCTCGTCCTCCACCTCCTAGTGACACAT